TTTCGGTCATATTGTCAACTTGTCAGCAAAGGCGCTGCTCTTTGGCAAGAACGCGAGCGCTTTCGAAGAGCAACTATCTGGCGCGTCGGCCCTGTCGGAAGCAGACTGGGAGTCGTGGAGGAGCAAGGGCCCCGTTGGAAAGCTTCATAATCTTGTCCATGACATCTTTCGGTCTAACAGGCTGACGTACTTGCTGCGAGATCTTCAGCAAGATGCAATCAGCAAAGCCGATTCGTTAAGGGAACGATCGAGGAAGCCACTTACTGTGGTGCGAGACAATGACACCCGCTGGCTCTCCCAACTGCACATGATACGTAGGGCACTCAAAATTCGGCCATACCTTATCTTACTGGTTGTCAAGTACAAACAGGAGTGGGAAGATGAGAATAGGTCGAAGAGGACGGGCCAGGTCAGGAAATCCGCCAGACTACCACGTATCTGCGAGGAGAACAAGCTGACAGACAGCGACTGGGAAGCTCTCCGGCATATGGAGGAGATATTAACGCACTACGAGAATGTTGTGAGGACTCTAGAGGGCGATGGACAAGTCAGAAAGAGAAAGCGGGGGTTTATGGGCTCATATGGTAATAGATGGGATGTGATTCTGGGTTTCGAAGAGCTCCTCTCGAAACTAGAGCAATACAAATTGCTTGCAGCAGGCTTTCCCGATGCCGAACAGTTCAGGATCGGGATTAATCTCGCCTGGGATAAGCTTGAGAAGTATTATTCGGCTCTAGATGAAACACCCATCTACTATGCTGCTCTTGCTCTCCATCCTGCGTATAAGTGGGCATACTTCGAGCAGACTTGGGATACCCATCCAGAATGGGTCGACAAGGCTAAGGAGATGGTTTACCGAGTTTGGAGGACCGAGTACGCGAATTCCGATATATTCACTCAGGTGGACGAGTCAGGCGACCAACGCCCAGCAAAAAGGCGCAAGTTCTTTGGCCCATTCGAGGCCAACAGCCGTCATATGCCGACGAGGTACGACTCTTCAGATGATGAAGCAGTCAAAGGGGATGAATACGAGACATGGCAAGGTAGTTACGAAGCGAGCGATAGGAGAGTTCGCGATCCTATTACATATTGGCACGAAAGGAGGCTGAAATACCCTCGGCTTTCCCGAATGGCCTTAGACTTTCTGACCATTCAACCGATGTCTGCAGAGTGTGAGAGGCTCTTTTCGGCTGCCGGGAGAATGCCGATGCCGTTAAGAAGCCTCCTGGATGCCGAAATAATCTCCATCTGTCAGGTATTGCGGTCATGGTATAGGGCTGGGATCGTCAAGGAAGTGGATCCAATGTTGATCTCGTGGCGCGAGGAGCAGCAGATTTATGAAGGTCTTGGTATGAGCGATAGCGAGTTAGCGAAACAAGCAACGGCATGGCTGACGGATCAGGGTGATGAGAGAGAGAGTGAGGAATAGCGAACTGATGAAACAAAGATGGAGTTACCCCAGAAGACTGTTGAGGCTTATACTTCAATACAAACTGGGCAAGTACGATGATTTAGGAGTGTAGATCACGTGAGCGAAGTGTACGAGAAACCAACTACATCCACCAAAGGCGCTGGTGTAGCACACTACACCAACTACACCAGACGGTTGCTTACCTAATTTACACTTACACTACTCTGGGCCGAAAAGTGTAGTTGGTGTAGTTGATCGGAACCTTGGGCCGAGTTAGTGAAATCATCTACGAATATGGCTTCGAAGGTCGCGTGGGGTACCTTGTCACAGACAACGCAGCAAGCAACGACACGTGCCTTGAAGAGCTCGCTACTGAGCTTGGCTTCAATAAGCAGCACCACCGGCTTCGGTGCTGTGGGCATATCATTAATCTCGTCGCCTGATCCATCCTCTTTGGGACAGATGCCGACGCCTTCGAAGAGGACTGCCAAGCCGACAAGGAACTCCAAGATGAGATGAGGCTGTGGAGTGCGAAAGGACCAATTGGCAAGCTGCATAACATTGTTCACTGGGTGCAGAGATCTGGTCAGCGCATTGATAAACTCCACAAGCTCCAGAGTATCGAGAACACGGCATTAGGTCTAGAAGACCGGTCAACCTACGATGTGATCACGGATAACGCAACCCGCTGGAACTCGTCTGAGGCGATGATGGAGCGAGGCTATCAGCTTCGGAATCCTCTTGATTCCCTGGTTCAGGCGGAGGTCACGGAGTGGGACCAGTACGTTGCCATGAGGACTGGAAGCGGGACAAGGCCAATGCCGAAGAGGAGCCGGAAAAAGCCTGCAATTGTTGACGATAAGATGTCAAGTGAGGACTGGGCAGTGATTGCAGAGTATCTGGCCATACTGAAGCCGCTAAAGATAGCCACGAAGCGTTTAGAAGGAAGACCTGAAGAGGGTATGGTAAGCCGATTCTAGCATTGATACCGACACCTACTCACAGACTATAGGGAAATATGGAGCGATCTGGGAAGTCCTACTAACCATGGAATGGCTTCTGCAGCATTTGGAGGACTCAAAACTGCAGCATGAGCACGATGAAGAGCCCTACCTACGGATTGGATGCAACCTCGGCTGGATGAAACTAGATAAGTATTACACTCTCACTGACGATAGCCCGGTTTATCTGGCGTCCCTTGTCCTCCATCCTGCTTTTCGTTAGCCTAGCGTCGAGTCTCAGTGGGCCGATCATCCCGATTGGTTAGAGAGAGGAAAGATTGCTGTACGCGAGCTGTGGGAAGAGTATCGAAAATTGCCCGTCGAGCAGGATACGATACCGGAACAACCGACTGCTGCGAGAAAAACAACAGACCTGGATGATTTTATGGCGTCGGTCAGGAAGCTCAGCACTCAGCGTGCGCTCTCAGCACCACCTATACGGGATGAGTACGCCGAGTGGTTGTCCACTTCCGACCCCGGCGATTGCCTGGTGGATAATCCGATTCAATACTGGCTTCTCCGACGACGACAGTATCCTCCCTTGTCACGAATGGCAATTGACCTGTTTTCAGTTCCCGCGATGTCTTCTGAGCCCGAACGGATATTCAGTCTTGCAGGGCAGATGGTCACGCCTCCGAGAAGACGGCTGCAAGCAGATATTGTCGGAGCAGCGCGGTGCATCTCATCGTGGGAGAAGAGTGGGGCCATTGAGATATCCAAATAGATCCAAATAAATCCAAATGTGCCCAAATGAATTCAAATCAAATTCAAATCGAGTCGTCCGTATCCAAATCAAATCCAACTAGGGTCAATTTGATTTGGATTTATTTATTGACAAGCCTGACCGAAACCGCCATTATGTCGCTCTCGTTCACGTTAACCATATTCTCAGGCTTGATCCAGCCATACTCGTTCTCCCGGATATCGAAATACCAATTGACCGCCTTCGGGGTAACCCCGTCAAATCTGGCAGCTTCCTGGCGTTTTCCAAGCTTGGTAGACAATTTTGAATGACGCTTGATGAACCTGGCAGTCTAGTTTTTACCCAGTGGCTTGTTATCTCCTTGTTGACGGAGGAGGGCTTCGACGCAGCTTCGAAGTTGGCTATGTGTGAGAGCGTATCCCAAGGATTTTTGCCGCAGAAGCCAACGAACGAGGCGGTCCTCCCGACTCGTAGAAACACGTTGGTGAGGGTGGGTAGACTCTTTCCTGCTCTTCTGGCCAGAAAGTCTTTTCGAGAGGACAGGTTGAGGCACCCCGTACTTATCGGAGACCTGGTATTGTGATAGAGAACCTTAACTAATATCGAATATAGCATCAATAACGTCTTTTTCGGTATAAACATAGCGACCCATTTTGTAGACATTTTACGCATAAACTACGTAGAGAGTCTTCTTAACTTTACAAGAGTTGAAGGATGAGAAAGCGAGAAATGCAAATTTTTCAATATCTTGAAACCCCCATGATACACACAAAGTCAGAAGAAAAATGGCCCAGGATAAGACACCACGTAAAAAAAATACACCACAGGTTTTTTTTCTCGCGAATGGCTTCATTACGCCAAAATGCGGTGCAAATAAAATGGTAGGGTTTGTATGGAGCGGTGATTTTTTGTGCTATGCTTTAAGTGGTGTGATTCTTTAAGTGGTGAGGGATGGTATGGATGACCGATCTGCTTGAGTTAGGTACCAAGATACAATCACCCCGCTCTCTCCTCTCCAGTGCGGTCTCGGAGATGGCCTGGTATTGGTCGTTACTGAGTGTCCGTTTAGCGTTTTGACAGCCAGCTTCTCCACGTCGTAGTCTTTCATTGTCTTCACTCGTATCAGCCAAAGGGGATCGACTAGAAGAGCCCAATCGTCGTGAACGGTCATCTCATATCGTCTAGCTGCGTCATGGTCGCGTCGGCGTGGGCTCTTGTCTAGCCACTCCAATTCGAGTACTTGATGAGGCCGCATTATCGTGACGGCCGTCGAAGGCCTCTCTGATATTCCATCGAGAAACTAGAAACAGACACACAACAGGAAGAGTTCCAAGAAGCTCTTGCTTCAGAAAAGTCTCCATCTAGTATGACTCAAGTTTACAACTCAACCTACGCTTGCCAAAGACATGCCATACTCAGTGATAATGTCCTCGTTGCTTGTTGTGTCCATGATAATGTATTACAAATAGTGGTCTTCGCTAGCGGGATGTTCTTCCGTTGATGTCTCCTTGGACGGTCGGGGCGGATTCGGAAATGCTGCTGTCATACAAGGTGACGGTAGTCTCCTCAGCCCGACATTCAACCTCATGCCAAGACATGCGACCAGTGCATGCTTATTATATAATGCTGAATTTCGCCAACTAGGCCATGACAGGATCAACTGTGGAACAGCAGGTCGTTCAAGCCTCTCAGAATCCAACGTTACTTATCAAACTCTACTTTCATATCACCAAATCCACGAGTGGACCCTCGTCCAAACAAAGCTTTTGGAGACAATTGCCGGCTTTTCCCTAGGCTTTTCCTCTAAGCTGCTGTTTACAGCTTTAGGGAGAGCATCTCACCTTCGCTTCTCGCCACTCTGTTCCCCAGGGTCTTTCTCCCACGTTTATATTTCGTCTGGTTTGAAAGCTCCGACAACGTCTTGACCCAACGCCTCGGTAAGTCTCTCTCGCAGAGCTAGAATTGGCCAAATAGGAACTCTTATGTATTCGATCTTGAGGCCAGAAATAGCAGCATCGTCATTGTCGAGCGGAGCTTTGAAGGGGATCGTGAACTTCTCTAAAAATTCCTTTGTTATATATCTAGTGTAGACGATGAACTCGGATGTGTCTATTCCGTGGGTAAGGATCAAGACCCAGGCTTTCCAAAGTCTCGCGACTGTAAGTCGATGTACTCCGCCCCTGAAACTAACATCACTCAGCCTCTTATTGACCGGTAAATGGAGCACGATATCATCTTGGGCAAACTTCTTGCTGGCAACACCATCTACACCGAAAATTACCAGGCCCTCCCCGAGGAGCGCAAACGCCGGCGTGTCAAACGCTATAGACTTGGGTTCGGTCACCTTACTCCTCTCCTACGCTCAGTTAAGCCATCGCATTGCGACCACTTGAAGCTAAAGCGTCGACATATACGATTTCCATTAAGCACACAGATTCCTGTGCTGATATATGCGGATTGATCTGCTTGATCGATAGAAAGAAGAAAATAATAGAGAACTGTAAGAAATCGCATTATGATTAAACATAGGCATACAGAACAGGACCATCTTTACCCCTCGAAGAACGTCGCTCGTGGTCAACGAACTCATTCCACCAACTATTGATTAGAATCGCCTCGACCAGGCAATTGTTCAGAAATCATGGAATCCCACAGGTTATTAAGTTCCTCACTATCGTCCAGGTTAGTTCTCTGCTTGCCACAGTTCCATGACTGGGGCTACACTTACGGCTCTTTCTTAGCCATTTTCATACCCCTTTCTCTGCAAAAGAACAGGAAGCGACGCATTGTACGTGCTCGTGGGAAAGACGCCATGACATCGCCTCGAGGCATGCCATCTGGAGCAAGCTCTCCGACACCCTTTTTCATAATGATGTGAACGCGAAGTGCTTCGATACTCCACTCCATCTCCTCAATCTCTGCGATGTGGACATGGAAATCGATCTCGTCCCTAAACAAGCCCCACTTCGCAGGTTTCACGTCTTTGAGTACCTGATGTTGAAAGCATTGTATCTGACCTACCCAGGTCCAATACTGTGTAACATTGATGTGGCTGGTATATAATCGAGTCTTGACTACAGCAAGACGCCAATCATATTTAGTAATACTGCCACCACTGCATGAATCTGTATCGGACCAAGCCTCAAAATGAAATTCGTCGTGATCGGGGCGACAATATGCTGGTGGCATGTATTTGGGCTTCTTGTTGAGGTGGGTGCTGAAGACTGGCTGAGGACCAGGGGCCGGGACCGAGGCTGGAGTTCTGTAGCCTGAGGATATTTGACCAGGCAGAGGAGAGTGGTTGACGAAGGAATCTTTACGAGGCGTAGTAGGAACCGAGTGCATAGACTTGCGCTTTTGGGGAGGTTTGGGTATAGTGCTAGGGCTGCCATGGCTCAAGCGAGCCTTCATGGCTCCAGAAGGGCGTCCTATGTTTTTGAAGCCATGCTTATAACGAAGACTTGTGAGTTTTGAGTCATGATAGAAGTCATGAATTGTTCGTGGCAGGTTGAAATTGCGACCCTGAGTTTGAATCAGTTCGTGGAGACGCTGTCGCATCCAGTCAACCGGCGACATGTCAATATTGAATTTTTCGAGCTCCGATATTGTCTCTGACAGGCGAAATAGGGTGTCATATGAGGTTATACCACCCTTGCCAGCCTGAATATATCTTTTACCTAACAACTGATAAGGGCTGATGGGGCCCTTCTCGTGGAATTCGAGAATTTTTATACCACGGTTGACCTGTCTGCCAATTTGATACTTTGAAGAGCCTCCCTTATCCTGCTCAGGACCTGCTTCAATAGCAGCCTGATGCTTCTCGCGCCATCGAGCAAGCTGTGGCTCAATAAGTGTTTTGACGTTTGGCCAGTTGGCTTCCCAATAGGGGTGTTCCTCATTAATCTTGACCAATGGCACCCCCGCAACGCATTCAGGATAAGTGTAAACAACTCCATCATTCTTGAGGACCATGTTCTCTCGGGTGATCTCTTCCAATAGTAGAGCAGGAGGAGACTCAGGAGGCTGTGATGAAGGATCAATGGGCAACGATGGTGGAGTTGGTCTTCCTCGTTCGCTGGATGGAGGTCGACTTCTAATATTGGCCGGCGTAAACCCAGGAGTTATACGATACTCTTGTGGAGTATTCATCCGTTCAGGTTCTCGTGGTGTGTGGACCTGAACAGAACCGCGATGGTCTTTGGTAGAGCCATCGAGCTCTGTTGATGGGTGGAGAATGTCATGAGGGGAGTGGCGGGGGGCACTCGAAGGAAGCACAGAGCGTGGTGTCTCCAAGGGCCTGGGTTGAGGATAGATTGGTGTCGGTAAGGGCGAGTCCACGGGGTCAATCATACGTTCCGGAGCATAATCCGACCTGGGAGCCGTTGTCGGACGGCTTGGAGATCCGTGAGGTGAACCATAAATTGGTCTATGGGGCATTTCACGAGGACGTTCAGCGATTTGCACTAGTGCTACTTCGGCAGTTCGTTCTGGGGCCCTTGCAGCAATCACATCATGGAACCGGTCATTGGATCGGTCCAGAATTCGCTCGGTTTGGGGCTCAGGGCGCCGTTCTGGCTGTCGTGTTGTAGTCCATTCTGCCTGACACTCAGTCACTCGTACAGGGTGAGGCTCAATTGATCGTTCAGGCCGTCGCTCAGGTTGCTGTTCGTGTTGTCGCTCGGGCTGTGGCTCAATCTGTCTATCCGGTTGTCTCTCAGGCTGTCGTTCAGGGAATCTTTCAAGTGTACGCTGTAGAACGGGCTGTGGTGAAGGTGGTCGAGAGGGCACAGGGATCTCCTGCTCGACTTGCTGTGGTTCTGGTTGACGTGCTGGCTCAGGCCTTGGCTGAACTTCAACTGTCGGATGTATTGTTTCCGAAGAACGGCCTGCGGGAGTCTGTTGAACTCCTTCTTCCAGCTGTTTCTTCCGCCGTGCTCTCTCCCTCGAGGCCAGTATATCAATTGTGTCCCCTGAAGCACCGTGGCATCCCTGACGATTCCATTCACAGTTGCCGCATTTCTGAAAGAGATCTCCGCCGACAATAATGCAGTCATCAAAGGCGCCTTGGTTCTTGTCGCATGACTGGCATCTCTTGGCCTGAATTTCTCCTGTAGCTTGAATCATACAAGAGAGCCATTTGACCCCCTTCGCCTCAGTTCGTTCGTAAATGCACGTAAGATGTCTAGCGTTGAAGCGCCGTCCTCGGCGAATCTTGACAGGTCTTCGTATCTCTAATTCTTGGATTCCCTCAACCCATGGGTTCCAAGGCTCGATCTGTTCCACGGGTCCGATCACGTTTCCATCAGCGTCAACAACATCAACGAGGGTCTCGGCTGCCTCATTATGATGGTGCTCAATGCCTTCCATACGATCATCATCATCTACTTCATCGGGTCTGTCCACTACCGTTGCAGTGCCATTAGTAGGCTCTATTCGTGGGATTGGCCCGTTAAACGCTGAGGATAGCTCTGGCAACACTTCAGGCAGAACAATTCCTTCTGATTCGGGTCCGAGATCGTCTGGAGCATCAGGATCCTCCCCTCTCTTTTGTCTGAAGAATCGGCGCATCTTGAACCAAATATCATGCAGCGTTTCCGCTCTCTTCTGACGTGACGCGCGGTAGTCTTGCTGAATGCGCTCAAGTCGATTGGCCTTCTCCTCACACTCATCAGTGCTGCGTGCCAGTTCCGCCTCGACTTTGACGAGTTCCCTAGCTAATCGGGATTGAGATTCTTTCAGTTGACTTCGCTGCCCTGTGAGATCACTGAACTTCAACCGAACTTCATTAATTGAGAGCTGGAAATCTTTCTCGATCTTTTTGATTTCGGCATCCTTCTTGCTGCGGAGGTTGACCCAGAAATTGCGTTCTGTCTCATCCCAGATAGCCTTTTGCTCCACCTTTGGGAGAAAGTCCCAGACATCGTCCCCTGTGGCCATCTTTCGAGGAGCTCACAGCTTTCGATGCGTTTTTGTAGCGTAGGAACAGTGCTCAGAAGATAGGTTGCTCAAAATGAAGCGAGGAGAGAAGTTGATATAGAGAGCTAGGGGGAAGGGTCAGCCAGGAGTAAGATTAGACGAAAGAATGCGTCGAATGAAGGAGTTTGAATGCAGAGGGGATGTAGTGACAAGGCTTGGACTATGATAGTTGTGGATGTTTAGGCGGTGGCTCGGGCGTAAGAAGCATTAAAAGTCCCAAGTGCCATTTCTGACGGAGATGTCTGGTGCCGACGCGGAACGTCCGCAGTCATTTGAGCTGTTACGTGCTACGCGTCTGATGTGGAATGCATCTGAGTTAAAGCGCGTTCAGAACACGCCAAGTGGGGTTGAAAGATGTTAGATTGGCGGATGGGAATTGTTAAATACGTGAGTGGGGTTGATGTCCAACTAAAATGAGGTTAATTTTCACACTTGAGGATCAATCTAGTCCCCAGGAGCTCGTCCTTCTTTTTTGTCTCTGTTCTTTTTCTTCCAGGTGTTTTTCCCGCCACCCCGTAATGATATATCCGGGGACCCACAAAATACACGTTTCTTTTATCGAGGCGCTATCATTAATCCAACAGGAATGGGCTCCACTTTCCTTTATCACAATATTATTCTTGTATCCAGAAAAGGAGGGGGAATAGTACCAACCCCTCCGACAGACTGATCAGAAAAATCAAGTCGACAATCAATAACATCACCACATTCGGGTCCACATCTTAATACACTCACCCCATCGTATAGCTGCGTATCTCACATTGTATCTGGCGTCAGTTAGCACTCGATGGGATAGGTGCAAGGTGCGCGATGTACCGATTTGTAATGATGAGATCTGCTGGTACTTATACCACCGCATAATTTAGGTGGCGGTAGAAGTACCTCTTGTTCTTTGCATTTTAATTGACTATGGCCCGTCATCGTGACCTAATTCCGGCCTGGTGGGCCCTTAGGAGATAATTGCTTTTGGTACGTAGGACTAGAATGTCAGCAGGTGCAGCTAAGAACAAAAGCCCGAAATGGAGCCCTCTTACGGAGGTCATCGACTATGAGGAGAAGAAGAGGAAGCGGCCTAAGGTGCGTAGTTTACAG